TTTAATATTAAATCAGTCCTAATATGAATTTAATTTTCTGTCAAATGACTTAAAAATTTAATTTCATTTAGCAGCTAATTATCACTTAATTTTTGAGATAATATTAATTTCACGCTAAGAGGATAAATATGATGAGCTCATGTTATACTAGTGTTATAAGATAGTTCTAGCACACACAATATGTGATATGCATTATAAAAGCTAGATTAATACAATTCTATTAAATGAAGAAATTAAATTAGAAAATATTTTTTTTGCTTAAAAAAGCAATAAAGTGTTAAATAATTAAAAGAATAAATACTGTAGTATAATATACGTAATATACGTATGTTATTACACATAATATGTTGAAATGAAGTTATTATATCGCAATGTATCATATAATATTTGATAAAATCGAAAGGATCACAGCTATTTTAATTAATAATCCTGTCTACGTTAATGAAATTTCGTAAAAAAATAGATATTCATTATTTCAGAATAATATATCTTAATTTGTCAAATATCTGTGTTTAGAAATATTTTGAGACTTGTAAAGCGGTGCATAAAGTGCCCTAGCTATTTCACGAGAAAAATTTGTCTGGATCACAATATAGCGGCTGTATACGCTGTCGCGAAAATATAAGAACGCGTGATCGATGATGGACACGATCATACATAAGTCTCGTTCTCGGAGATTTCCCGCCGGTAAAAATAAAGACGTAAACAGACGGTGTCTACGAACGATAAAGTGAATGATGAAATCTTTTATCGTTTACTTGGCAGATAACACCCGCGGCGACATGAGATCAGCACAAAAGAAATATAGATCGCCATGAATCCTAACACGCACATATCTTATAAAACTTCACATTTTCGCAATGAAATCGAGAAATAAGATTCTCATAATGAGATATAACAGAACTGTGACAAACCTACAAAAATTGAATAAATTAAAAAAAAGTCTTCATATAAATCAAATTCAAACAAAATAGAGAATTATATAATTAATTATAATGATTCAAAAATAAAATATAAAAAAAAAGATGATAAGCTATTTAAATATACCTATAATAAGAAAAATAATAAAGTAGATGAAGTTTGTGTAAAATAATAACGATTATGAAAAATCGAAATCGAAAGATAAAAGACATAAATTGCTGCACTGAAAAGATTATAGTAAGATAGATCTACGTATTTGTCATATTGCACAATAGCAAGCCTAGCGACCGCGAATAAATCAGATTTAAAGCTAAGCTGATGTAAAGTTACAATAGACAAATCATCATTCAACTTGGGTATAAAATATAATCGATTGCCATTGTAACAAAACACCCCCAAAAGTTCGCTTCGTGCCAAGATAATTCAATAATGAAAGATAAAATCAGATAACAAAGAGACTATTGACATGTATTACATCTCGATACGATCCAACAACGACATATCGAGCAGTCCTTTCTACATCATTATCTGCTGCTATACAGAATATCGATAAATCTGGAGAATTACATACCGGAAGCAAAACACATTCGTGATTTCATAAAATGCGTGAAAATGGCAGAATCATCCCGTTTTAGTAACCTATCGTAAATATGAAGCACCGTAAACATTTTTATCCGGAAGATACGATCTGTTCCTTTAAGAATATTGCAAAACAAATTTTCAGATTCGATTGGAACAGAGCAGAAATTCGTGCAGTTCAAATTAATAAACTTTTATAAATATCAGTTTTGAATAACAAACTTTTTTTAAATCATTTTTGAATAATTAAAAAAATCGTATTAAATAAACTGTTGATGCGATAGAAAAAAATAAATATTCATATATGTAAAACAATCAAATAATAACAACGTTGTTGATGAAACAAATTTTCTCATCAACGTTGATTGTAATCGATACACGATACGATACACGATACGAAACACGATACGATACACGTGTGAACGATGTAAAAAACACGCACACGCACATGCATATATAATTTCGGTTTGTGAGAGCCGTAATATCCGTATGCAATAATTCCATATTTCTGAGCTTATAGTATTCGAGGAGATCCCGTGTCGTTTTGTTTGCCGGCACCTGTCACGCGACAGTATCTATCCGTCAGGTATTCAATCTGTTGTAACGCTAGTTACAATAATAATATATATGCTCGACGATAACGGCATCGAGTGCATCTACAAGCGCGAATTTATGTTACATTTACGTACTCGCCGGCGTAAATTTATACGCTTGAAATTTAAGCCAGAGTCTAATTGTAAATACCAAAATTATTGAGTATGATAGATTGTTGAAACTAGTAACAGTATTATTAACTGCAACGGTATCGCTCTCGATAACTGTAGATAAGAGTGTTGAAATTGAAATAACATTTAAATTAATTGTTCTATACGAGATATTATATGCATATAAACTAGAACAAAATATAAACATAAAAACTAAATAAATATAAAAATTAAAATAAAATAAAAACTGAATAAAAATTAAAAACAAAATAACCATAAAATTAAATAAAAATTAATTTTAATTAAAATTAAAATTAAAGAAAAATAAAATAAAATAAAAATGTATTAATTTATTTATTTCATCAATAAATTTTTATTTTATTCTATTTTTTTCTAATTTTAATTTTGATTTTATTAAAATTTATTTTTAATATTTTTATTAAAATAAATTTTAATAAAAATTATGTCATAGTAGCCGATTAAAAAATTTTATACTCCTAGAGATATTCGTATTATAATTATAGGTACAGATTGCAGTATCTCTCTCTCTTTACCCGCGTTAACTGCATTAGCGTTGGCAAACGTCAACGTAATCAGGCAAAATCCCCCTGATGTGTAACCCGGTAATCGAAGATCGCCGTGAGACAAATGGATGCTGCGACGAGTGTACATACGCGATGCATGCGATACTTCGCGGATCTCTTGAGAAATTACGTGTCGTGTGCAGGCGAATGTCGCGCTGCTGCGGTCAACGCAGCGAAAACGATAAATCAGTGCTGAGATTGCTAGGAAACGTGTTTGGCAAGAAGCCGGGAAAAATGTGTGACCTTTCGTCATCACGTTATAGCGTATTAAAACTGCTTAAATTGAATATATGTCTACACATGGAGTGTTTAATGCAATCTTGTAAAAAAAATTTCCTGAAAATTCCTTAATCTTTCGCGTATTTTTGTTCAAAAAATTCCGGATAAAATTAGAGACTTATTATATAGATGTAATTTTCTTAATTAAGTTTCATTAATAAAGGTACCTTTTAAAATTCTCTTGCAATCAAGCAAAAAAGTACAGAATATTTATATGTTTCAAATATTGAATTTGGAAAAAGTATACTGAAAAAACTGACTTTCATAAGAGAAACATAATTTAATATAATTTTTTAGCATTATGAGAAACATTATTAAAACAAATTAGTAAAGAGAAACAATTTTTGAAAAAATTTCTGAGAATTCTAGATCTTCTACTTACATTTCCGAGGGAATGTTTTTATCAAGAAATAGGGATTTAGACATATAAAGATTAACTTTTGAAACTTAAAAGCCATCAACGCTTTCATCAACGTTTCGCGAGTAAATTAATTATGATGCAAACTATTGCATTGAATATTATTATTAATGTGAAACAAAGTTCGAAACAGAATGAATGATGCATACATACATCTCGATAAACCCTATTATTATTTCATATCTAATTATGATTAGTTTATAATAGATCGGCAATTATTAAGCGGTTCATTATTTTCTCTCCTAGTGGAGGAGTCATTATAATAATTGTTGCACGTGAATATTAATATGCCACAAAGGAGCAAACCCGATGACTCGCGTGCCGCGATAAATTTGCGCGAGACCGCGAAAAAATTTATATCATCACGTGGGCGAAAATCGCAGCGATACATCCCGATGACCCAGATTCCGGTTGAATTCCGGTCTGTCGCATTTGGCAAATTTGCGTCAGCCATCGATACGTCCATCTAAAGGCCGAAGGGTGAGAAAGGGAGGAATCCCATTCTTTAGGCCGAAAAATCCGTAAAGAATACTTCAAATAATTTTATTAAATTATCGTCCCGAATATTAGATTTTTGACTGTCAGGACAAGAGAAATAAGAATCAGCTGATTCGAAACGTCAAACGTCAAATGTCAAACTTCCCGCCTCTTATTTTTCGAAATGCATACACAATGCGTGATTATGCATCCCGGAGATATACATGGGGTTCGCCGAATTCTCGCGAAATAAAGTTTTCTCTCACTCGCATGTATATGTGTATTACACACATACATACAGACGTCAGCCCGTACCATTTTGAAATAGTAAATCCTACGAGCCGATATCGATAACCGACAAAGAGACATAAGGCTGATGAAAAGATAAAACTCACGACGAGCGAAGAGAAAGAGAGGAAAAAAAGTATTTGCGGAAATATAGTTTCCTTGTATATCTCTTGGAAAAATGCTTCTCCGACTAAATTCACTTCCAGCTCGGTACTCCTTGCCATATTTCAAGTTAATCCATATATATGGACGAACACGGTTTATGCGCGCGGCGAGGCAACATTTTCAGATACACGAAACGAAATGTCAAAACATCATCACGATACGCGTGGCGGAAATATTAAAATTATCATTGATTTATATGTATATATATATAATATGAGCGAACTACTGTATAAAATAGCTCCCGGAATTATAGTGCGAAAGATATCTCCGAAATAAAATCACCGTTAATTTCCGAGAAAGATTGATGTGATAATCGATACACCGATTCCGTGCAAATCAACATCCGTGAAATTTAAATTTGTATCGGTCAAAAAAGCCGACACCATATTCGTTAACAAGATATACAGCAAATTATTCATAATCGCTGTATATGTTATTTCAAAATCGATTCCCGAGATATACCAAGGTATTCTCGATTTAAATCTCCGACTCTGCAGCAACGGATGTCATTATATAGACAATTCGATCGGAGGTCGTTTATAAGATTATAGTGGCAGCAGAGAAAATATCAATAAAAAGACTCACATTCTCTTCGACGGTCTTCTTGATCTTCGCGCTGGCCTCCACCACGGTTTTCCCGGCCTTGTTCACGGCGCTGTACAAAAATCCGCCGAAGCTCTTCGCACCCGCCAGCGCCTTCGTGGAAACTGGTAACAGACAAGAAGGGAAAAATGAGAATTGATGTTGCAATGTTCGCGCGAGAAAACTACTCCTTTTCGCTGCTAACCCGAGAACAGCGTCGGAGCAAAAGAGTGCCGCGATCGCGTAAAATAGATGTCGATCGTTTTTCTCTTCGAGGAAAAGTATTTTTATTCAAAAATTATTTAAAAATCATAATAAATCAACAAAAAATATACAAATACATCTTCAAAATAAATATAGGCTAAGAATCAAGCGAAAAAATTAAGTGCAGCAATCTTGTTGTAAAATATTTCTCTATTTAAACTAAACGTTTCGGTCTTTCTTTGGATCATCTTCAGTAAGCTGGATTAATTAGAAGAAAGAACACAGTACTGTTTTGTATGTTACTGAGATCAGGACAAATTACCCGAATTTTTCTTAATTAAACCAGAGTCCAAAGAAAGGAAATGTTCAACTTTTGTCTTGTGTTTCATCTTGAATTTGTATTTGAAAATTATTTATTTAGCGTGTATGACGGAGAGTGTTGCATCTGTTTTCTATGCCCGAGGGTTCAAAACAAGAGATTGATGTTCAATATTAGTAATACAGGGAGAGAAGAATGCTAAGCTATATTGTTGAGTTTACAGTTAAGAAATAGCACAGTGTTCGCAAATAAACAGTGTCGTCGGCTTGTTCCAACCCAGATACGCCAAATAAATTTCTCACGAGACTCTTTCGTCGAGAATTCTGACTTTGCCATTTATCACAACCCGATGATGAGAGGCAGGGGATGATAAGAGCAACAACTGGCGCGCTTCTTCGAGGCAAGACGCGTCCAAGATGTCTGATGTTAAAATGTAGTACAAACTATTGCTGTATGCAATTTTCGCGCGTACTATTCCCGCCAGCAATTTCCGATTTAAGATTGCGACAATGTTAACACGAAGAGCTGAGAAAAATATAATTTGAGATATTTGTGTAGCTGTCTCTGTCGCCGTTCAATATTAAAAGTTGTAACACATGTTATTATGTGAACTTATAATTATATAAAAATACATATGTGTACATACACAGAAAAAATTAACTAGCTAAATTTTAGCTGTCCTGAAATTTAGTTATGGTGACCAATGTTTTTCCCGTGATTTATTTTCTACATTAATTTATACCTGCGATTTTAACAAAATAATGCAATAAAATGACGTTTGTTCTAATTTCTGATTCGTGAAATATATTATTTGTAAAAAACAAAAAGCATCCTCTCTTTATACATTTGTCCCATTTTCTGCTCCATGTAGCTAACACGAATAATAGCGAAATAAAATGGACAGCTGTGTATTTCATCGTTCGAAAAATAAAACAATGTGTCTGTTGCAAAAAAATATTGCTATGTTACACACGTCACAGCAAAGAGATATGCGACGCTTCGACAGACAACAGTACCACATAAATAGAATATACATATTAGCCGTTTCGCTCGTGTTTCGCATAGACGGTAAGTTACAGCTGACATTTACATTTTTCGATAAAATACAAAGCGATCACCTCTTCTTATACCTCTAACGACTCGTGGAAAAGGTCGTCCGGTCTTGATCTTCGGCCTCGGCGTTTCAAACTGCCATGTCGCGGAGCACTTCATCGTGTGTATCAACATTTCATCAACGTAATTCACTCTCGTAACCTGAAGAAGCATTTCGAAAGCAATTTCACGGAAGAGTGTGAACAAACCCTCACGAAACGTCGCGTTTCTGCTAATTCATTCCGTCGCGAATTCATTTCAATCTCGCATATTTGTGTGATCTTTATAATCTAGATTATGTAAAGTGTTAAGGTCCTACCCCACAAATATTTTCGCACAAAAATTATTTGACTTTAGGGAAACACAAGACAGCAATATCATTTCTTTACTTCTTTAAATTGATTTTTTTTTAACAAAAGTTGTTCAATCATATATATTAATTAAGGATTTTCTTGAATTAGATTAAAAAAAAATTGTATAAAATAATTATACAAAGTAACTGTATAAAAATTATAAAAAGAAATTATATAAAAAATTACTGACAAAATACGCAGAATTTTAATGATATCGTCTATAGGACGATATAATATAGGACATTTTTATAATCCATTCTAAGCGGCATTAATGCGCGATATAAATACAAAATATTTTTCCGATGTAAAAAGGAACAATCCATAGTAAACGATTGAGTTTTTACCCCCCGACTTTCAGAAATTCATGAATGAGGTCAATCGGGCGGATTGGTCAGTTTATACGAGAGAGCCATAGAAACTGAAATATCCGGTTAAATTGCAGAGCTTTGAAATGGGAGATACATATTTTTCTTTTTACAAACCTCAAACACTTGCGTTATACCACAACTGCGATAGAACATTGCGATAAAATGCGGGAGCATTGGGTCTTTATATATATTTAAAAAAAAATCTTAAATAATTTGCGCGTAATTTCTCACAGAAGTTTACAAAGGATCTGTATCGTTAACACGTATATATAAGAGAAGAGAACGCAGAGTGATCTGCGAGTTGCTCGCATAAACCGAAGGCGATTTAATCAACCGGATTGAAGCACTTCAATTTGTGTACCGTTACTTCCCCTGTCTATTTCCATCTGACCAAGCAGTCGACCATTAAACAGAACGAAGCCAATGTAAAATATACATATACATTCGATATATATGTATAGCTGTAGCGTTTAATAACCGTTTCAGAAAAATGCGAACGCATCGAATAATTGGCGCCCTAGAACTGAGGTTACACAAACAAGTTCATCTCTCGTCGAGAATTGTTAAACAAATGCCAAGCATCATAGTCGTTCTTGTCACATCCGAGATAATTTGTCGCTTCACCAAAATTGCAGAATTTGCTGCAGAGGGTGCATACGTTGCGGAAACATTAGGCGATTTTGACGCCTAAAAATAGGGGAATTTGAGTGCAGCAGAAGAATAAAGTTCAAAGTATTGTGTTATTGAATTCGTGGAAAAAGGAAATAATTATGCAATTAAAATAATAATATAAGAGAACAAGACTATTATTTTCTGTAATTTTTTGACGCTGTATCCGATTGCAATTTTAAAATTGCTCTGCCATAATTTTGAGAAGTTTGTAATCAACGTGGGAAGAAATTTTAATATGTATTTTGTCATATTACACGATGTATGATGTATTGAAGAAGTTTTTATTACAACTAAAATTCAATATGTTATTTAAGACTTTTAGCTCTTAAAAGAAATTTGTGCAAAAGGAGAAATGACAGAATTAATATAAAAAATTAAAACAATAGAATTAATTTGAATATCAAACTGTTTACATTTTTGCAAAAATTTATACAATTAGTTAATTTGATTAGTTCAGCTAAAAGTCTGTAAATTTAAACATAAACATAATTGAAAATTATTCGATAGATCCTTCAATGATTTGCATTATAAGTAAATGTAACAAAAAATTATATCGCGATAAAATCGACACTTTTATAACAGATATATGTATAACAAAAAATCTCAAATTTTTTTTTTATAATTTACGACAAAATTCAACTCGCCAAAAATTCCGTTAATTGTGGCGGTACTTCTCGATCGTTACCGATCTACCCTATTTTATTTACACGTACGAAATAGGACAATTTCATCAGTAGAAAGCAACGTGAAAATTCGTCGACGATGTCGCCGCCGCCCGGCTCAAAGTTGTCCGAAAAGTTTCGCTCGACCGACAGCGATTGTCGCTCGGCAAACTTTGACTGGTCCCAAACTTCGTGTATAGACACGTGACGAGAAAATCTCGCGCTATATGTCACTGCGGTATATGGGCACACAACTCACTTAGGTGTTGTTCACGAGAGAAGAACGACACGCGCGAAAGACTTCGACACCTATGGCCGTTTACTAACTTCTGTAGTAAAACTCGCGCGACTGAAAAACGCTTTGATAAGATATCGATGCATTGTATAAAGAGTCAATTATCGTTTGTACTTTCTTTAAACATAAGATAATCGACGCATATTGGTTAGCTGAAGCAATAAAATATTTCGAAAAAAAGAAACTAGAATTTTTTTTAAATTTTGTGTGCGAAATTTCTTCTCAAAATAAAATTACTGTGTGCATAAAATTTTTAATTCGTTAAATATTTTCCACAAAATAATTTTCAATTAAATTGCTTTAAATTGCTTTTTAGCTTATTTCACAATGACATATATATATACATATATTGTTTCTCTCAATAAAACTAATTAATTAATTATGCAATTTTAAATATTCCCGCAAAAAAAAAATAAAGAATATCATATCATTTTGTCAAAAATGAATATAATGGAATAAAAATACTCCTATACATACTGATATAATCGCTACATACTCTTAATGGATTAAGAGTGTAAATTATCTCTATCTTCTTTTCTTTTATAAAAACGTATTTTAGTTAGAAAAGTCGTATATAAACAACGATGAAATTTTTTTGTGATTTTAGTGAAATAAAATAACTTTGAGAAAAAATTATGTCGCGCTGAAAATGTAAAAAAAATTTTTAATAATTTTATTTCGAGATAGATTTGGCTTATTATACCATATATGTAAATGCATATAACTTTTTTCAAATAGCTTTTTTACTTGTCTTATTTCTACGACATATATCGCATGTTTAAAAAAAATTAATCAGCTAATTATATCTAATTTTAATATATATTGCATGTTTAAAAAAAAATAATCAGTTAATTGAATCTAATTTTAATATTCTTGCAAAGAAAAATGAAGAAAATTATTTGTTACACTAAAATAGAATATAGTAGAACAAAAATACAGATATAATCGCTATTGGATTAAAAGCATAATAATCCCTAGCTTTTTTCTCTCTTATATAAGAGCGTATCTTGGTCAGAAAGGTCGCATAAAAATAACAACGATGGAATTTCTTTGTGTTATTAGCGACGCGAGCTTTATGTCATGGTTTCTCGTATGTCCCGAGTTGATGACGTCGATAATTGTGTAATATGTCGTAAGGGTAGTGGCGACTATCAACCAGC